TTTTTTGCCTACTTTGGTTGAAAGCCCTGGAAACCATTCATCATGTTTTGAATTATGATCTTTTCCTGGGCTATCAGTGTGGTCTCATACACCCTGTAGCTCCCCATCAGCCATGAAATCATGAGGTTCAACAACCCATACTGCACAGTGTACTGTACTGCTAAGCTGTGTTGCTCAGTAGGTTAGCTGTTTTCATCACATTTTGACTTTTGATATATTCAAATTATGATGTGTTTATCTGGCCATAACCTCACCACAAGTTAAGAAGCATCTATAATTATTATTTGATTGAGAGGATAAGACTAAAGTATCTGACATACTTTCAGACTATCTTGTAAATTAGAAAATACTCTTAAAGTTGCTGTAGGAATTCAGGGTAGAACTTCCCATCTGGGAAATGAACAAGTGGAACTTGAAGATGTTTAAAGGATAAATTTCAGTTCTGAAGCTTGAAGCTAGGATTGAGGTTGGATTGCAATTAAGTTTTTTAATATGGACAGCAGTAGAATATCCTAAACCACAAAACCAAGAAAATAAAAAAATGCATTTTCTCTTGACTGTTGATATTTGTAAAAATAATTAATGGAACACTTTATTTTAAACAAAGTGTTGGGCTGGGGTTGTGGCTCAGCAGTAGAGCACTTGCCTTGCACGTGCAATACCCTGGGTTTGATCCTCAGCACCACATACAAAAATAAACAAGTGAAATAAAGGTGTTGTGTCCAACTACAACTAATATATATATATATATATATATATATATATATATTTTTTTAAAACCAAAGTGTTAGGTGTAGTCAACTTGAATTTCATGCATAAACACAAATTTCATACAGATGCTATGCATCTTACAGTAGTTTAAACTTTTTTCTTCTGTCCAGTTGAAATTTGATTTACATTTTTATTCATACTTATGTATAACATCATTTGAAAAAGCTAATAAATTCTCATAATACTTTGGAAGCTCCAAATGTTGATGTTTTTCCTTCCTGTAAACTGAAGTGAATGAATAATTCAATCAGTTATGATTTATGAAGAGAAGATAGATATAAGGAAAACACATTTATGTTAGGGGAGTTTCAGTGACAGGTTTAGGTTTTATGCTATCATTGTAATTACCTGTATGGCTAATTTGCTAATGCATAGTCATGTGAAAACTAAATGCAGCCCATTAAAACTGAATTGATATAATGGGTTGAAAGGGGTTATATGAGAAATCATCATTTAGAACAGATTATCTTGACCCTTTTCAAGATATGACATTTTGGGTAATTTTCTGAGACACATATAGATGGGAAATATTTCTGATCTTTCCCTTTATCTACTATTAGGCTATCTCCATATTATTTGGAGATGGGCATATAATTGTAAGCAAAAATGGTCTCTCTTGGAGCTTATAACTTATAGTGTTATATGTATGAATTTTGATGGAATATGATACATTCTATTTTTATAGGATAATCTATTATGGGAGTCCAGAACAGATAACTCTAAACCAGTTAAGTAAGGTCAGAAAAAATAGATTCTCAGTCCCCTTTCCTAGAAATTTTGATTTGATGGATCTGGACAAAGAACAAAAATTGTTATCATTATTATTAAATTCCTCAAGTGTTTCATCCAGTTGGCCAAATTTGGGAAACACTTCTTATGAGTGATTAAAATGGATAGTAATCTTGCCAGGTACTGTAAGTGAATTAGGTAGGGATGGAATAGATATTGATGTTTTTCAAATGACTTCTACTCATAGGCCAAAGGTTGATTTTTACATTTATCCTTTTTTGCTTGTCATAATTATTTTCCTTAGATTATAAAATTTAACTGCCTCATAGGTGGGTGAGAGAACCTGGCATATCAGTAGTTACATGAAAATGACCCGGAATTATTGTGTGGCTGTAAATCTAATGAAAGTCAGATGTAGGCCTTGACTGCTCACAGAAGCTACTTTAAACTTAGAATGCCTCACTATAGCCAGGCTTGGTGGCACAGACTTGTAATCCCAGTGGCTCTGGAGGCAGAGAGGAGAATTTTGAGTTCAAGTTGGGCCTCAGAAATTTAGTGAGGCCCTAAGCAACTCAGCAAGTTACTGACTCTAAATAAAATATAAAAAAAGGGCTGAGGATGTGGCTTGGAAGTTAAGTGCCCCTGGGTTCAACCCCTGGTACAAAAAAAAAAAAAAAAAAAAAAATTAAAATTAAAAAAAAAATAAAAAATCACTCTAAGCTTAGTGTAGGGGTGAAAGGTGAAAGGAGGAATAGTCTTCTGTACCCTGTACTTCTTCAGGGAGGGGAGCATCTGGCCTCATGTGGATAGTATCTTTAAGGAGGATGTTAAACAGTTGGTATAGATGGAAGGAAGTTGAGCTCCTCGGTTGATATCAATATAAGGAAGAAATAGGCTTGTTCATCTCAGAAAAACTTATACTATGTAGTTCCAGAAGAACTAGAAGTTAAATGGGTAGCAAATGATCAATTATTCACTGACTTGTTTATTCATTTAACAAATACTTATTTAGTACCTACTGTAACTCAGTCTAGTACATGCCAAGGACATAATAGTAAACAAGACCAAAAGTTATAAAAAATGTGACAAGTACTGTGATGGGAAAGATAGAGTGCTATTTATAAGATTAGTAGTGCAAAAGGATGGTATATAAATACTGGTCCTGGAGATATTCAGGAAGAGGTGGTTGGCGATATTGTAGAAATTATTCAAACAACTGTAAGTGAAATCCTCTTTGGCTTTTAATATCAACAATTGTACAAGTCTTATAACAGACATAAGACTTGTACAATTGTAATATATATATTACTCTCCTTGCTTCTTCCGACCCCCACCCCTTTCCGTTCTTTCCAAACTCATTTCCAAGTCACCAAATCCGAAGAATGAAATGATTACCTTTGTGATTCTCATACAAGTTTGTGTATAAGGAATGGCAAATTCTTAGAATTAGAGTCACTCTTCATTATTATGGTTTTATCTAGGCTATCAGTAATTGAGGATAGACACAAGTGTTTACATAAGTGCACTGTGATCTGATTTATAGCTTTAGTTCCCATTTCTCTTGAAGTCTAGTCCATTCATGTGGGGGTCTCTGTGGCATTTGGTGGGAGCCTGTATTTCTGTAGGAATGGCAGGCACGAAGGATGAGTGGAGTGTTAATGTCTTTTATGTAATTTTTATGTGCTCTAAATAAGACTATGATTCTTTTATCATTGTGTTTTGAATTCTTAACGCATCTTGGCTAATTAGAAAAGCTGACCTTTCCTTCACAGCGTTTTTATTTAAATTATGTGGTGATATTCTTAGAACTGTTTGAAGTCTTTCAGATTCAATATTACAAACTGCACTTGGACATCACGGAGGTTTGGATTTGTTTTCTCTTGATCCAATGTGATTTCCTGTTTCTAAGAAAACAGTTTCTAAAGACTCTTAAAAGGAATTTCTTGCATGCCTGGCAGCTCATGTAAAACCACATTTTAGTGAACTAGCATAAATGAAGTATATATGGGAAAAGAAATCAAAGAAAAACAGTACTACTTGACCAAATTAGTGTTTTACTTTGTGGAAATTGAATCCCATAGAAAAATGTGGTGATTTAGGAAGTGTCTGCAACTATGAACCAAAAGTTTCATTTTTATTTGGTTAATCATCCTATTTCAAGGGGTTTATTCTGTGCTGGAGTTGTTGCATGATAGCAAGTCAAATACTTAAAAAAAAAAAGTTAAAAGGAAAAAGAAAAAAGTGTCCTTCAAATAAATTCACATGTGTGTAACTAATTCACATGTATTCTCACAATTTTCTGGAAAAAAACCTAAATAATCCCACTAGTTAGTCCATGGGAGATGAGCTAATGAGTCTTTGGTAGTTAGATCTTTCTCTGTGAACAGGAGACTCACATCTCACAATTCAGAGATATGACTTCTCCCTTTTGGAATCAAACTAGAAAGTGGCTTTTTGTAAATATTTTAACAGGGATTAAACATGCTGCTTTTATGACTACTAAAGGCAGTTTATTCATTTGACTATTATTTGTTAATCACCTGATACATGCAAGTCATTATTCTAGAAACAGAATATAGTGCAGAATAAGACAGAATGTTCTTGATTTTATTTACCAACTAAACACTTATTTAAAGGCTTACTGTTCTCCAGAAAGTATTCTAGATATTTTAAAAATCTCAAGTTGTTTAATCATCCTAACAGTGGTTTGAGATAAGAACTTTTATCCATGTTTTACAGGTGTAAAGAATGAGTCCTAGGGCTGGGGCAGTAACTCAGCGGCAGAGCACTTGTCTACTTGTCTAGCATGCATAAGGCACTGGGTTTGATCCTCAGCACCACATAAAAATAAAATAAAGGCATTCTGTCCATCTATAACTAAAAAAAAAAAAGAGTCCCAAAGTCCTAGATAGGAAGTGGGTGAGCCAGAGTTTGAATGCAGGATGAGTACTCATAGCCACCTGCTCCATGGTCATTACAGAAGCCTGGGTGGGATTCCTTGTTAATATACACACAGAGGAAAGAGAGGAAAATAAAAGCTATGGGTGGTCTGACCACTCTTGATATTTTGCTATCTGTGTTCCATTTGTTATATGTATATGTATTTGTGTGTGTGTGTGTGTGTGTGTGTGTGTGTACGCACGCACGCATCCATGTATTTAAACATGTGATATCATATTTGTTGGTTATCACTTATTTTTACACTGTAGTATAGGCATTTTGGAGCCCAGTGCATTTTATTTAATAGAATTTTAAGTAGCTCTGTAGTATTCCATTTCTCTAACTAGTTTCCTACTAGTTAATAATATGTTCTATTTTTCAATTTCATAAACCTTGTTGTAATGAATTCCTAAAAACAAATCTTTTTACAAATCCATGGTTATTAAAAAGTTTCTTAGTGAAGCTGTTAACACTGTGTAAATATTTATGCAGTGTCCTTGTGCAGCCTGTGGACTATGCATATGACAACATTAACCATATAAACATGCTTTCCCTTGTAGGTTAGTGGATGACAGATGTGTGGTGCACCCAGAGGCAGGGGACCTTGCCAACCCTCCCAAGAAGTTCAGAGGTAAAAATTAGAAAAAATATGTTTTATTATATGACCTAAGAGAGCAGATTGTTTTTGTGTCAAAAAAGTAATGTTAAAACTTTATTCAGTGTGGAACTTTCAAATACCACTGCAAGTTCTTTCAAAAATGTACCCATTGTTGTTCTTTGATACATTGGAGGATTTATAATGAAAGAATAATTTCAATTTTTGTTTTCCTGGACAATAGTCTTCTGTTGAAAGGAAATCATGGTAATTAACTGTGAAAGATGACTTTTCAAGCCAGTAAATGCAGCCAAATAAATTTATTTATATATTTATGTGGCAGTTATTATAAATGTTATAGTGCTTCATTGTTAGCTGGTTAATTTATCTTTGTAAAGTCTTCAGGAAAGTGACAGTGATGCTTTAGCTTGGCTTTAAATACACTCTGGATGGAGTATCATAACTAACAATTGTCTTAGAAATCCTTTCTAAGCAATCTTAGAAATAGCTTGATAATCTCCTTAACTGATAAATGGGTTTAGTAGGAATTGATTATAACTCAGGTTTATAAAAGAACCAATGGAATCTGTAAAGAATTCTAGAAAACTAAAATCAGTAATTAAAAGATTGTCAAACATATTTCATAATTTGTGTATGCTTACAATAATAAAAATAAATTTAAAGCAAAATTTATTATGAACGCTCTGCATGCATTCATTCTTACAATGATAGAAATCAGCTTTAATAAATAATTAAAAAAAACCCCAAAACCCTGCAGAATGGAAAGAATTCCTTAGAGTGACATACTCAAGTCAAGATGTGCTGATCAATGCACTGGGGAGGGGAGATAGTTAACATTTAGTAAATAGTCACTATGTTTTACCCTCTGTGGTAGGTGCTTTATATACAATATCTTTTTATGAGAATATTTTTCTTTCCCTCAACTTAGAATCTTGTAGAGAGAGTGTCCTTTTAGTTAAAAAATTTGGATAAAATCTAAATTTTTCCCCAAGTGGAGAAAACATAAAATAGGCTTTGAAAGGTAAAATACTCACTGGAAACATTCCTAAAACTTCTCAGTAGGAACATTCTGCTAACCCTGGGTCAATGAGACCTTGCAATAGAAGTCTCCACTGAGGAGGAACTCACAGTAAAATCACTACAGATAGGCTACCAGCACTGAGGAACAGCCTGCCAGAGACTCAGCAGCAAGTGTGTATAAAATAAAAGAGGACGCAGAAACCCTCATAGATGAACAGAGAGCATGAATGGAGGTGAGATAGATTTTAAAAAGCATGAACTAGCATGTTATGTAAAGCCGAAGAGGGAATTAGTGCTCTGGAGAAAGAGATCTGAGGAAATCACCCAGTATGTAACAGAGAGAGATATGAAGAAGGATATGAAAGAGTGATGGTAAGTTAGGAGAATAGATCGAGAAGGTCCAGCAGCATCCAGCTGAATTCTAGAAGAGATTAGAGGGAATGGGAGAGACACAACCTATGAATGGACATGGGTGAGAACTTGGATCAACTGGAGAAAAAAGTATTCCCCCAATAGAAAGGGCACATCATATTCAAAGTAGTAATGATAAATACAACCAAATCCACAGGTAGGTATTCCCTTGTGAACTGTAGAGCATTAAAGACAAAGAGAAAAGTTTTAAAAGTAAACTGGGACAACACTTTATTTGTATTAAGAAAAAGCATGAGGTTTAGGTTTTGACTGTGTCATTCAATGGCTATGTCCTCTTAAATAGGTCACCTAACTGTTTTGAGCCTCAGAGGACATCTGTCCTCTGGGATGGATAATGGGAACAGTGCCTATCACATAAAGTTTTGTGAGCCTTGAAATCTTTCCAGAGCAAGTAAATGTAAAAACATTTTAGGTCATTATATGATACTTAACTAACAATAGAAACGCATAATGTATTTTCATTAAAAATATTTGGTTCTACCCTTAAATTATAATCTCTTCCAGGGGAGAGTTTTATTTTATTTTATTAATTTTGTGTTTCCAAGACATGGAGCTTTACCCTTCCCCCCAAAAAGTGGCCATTAGATACTTTTGGATGAGACATCCAACCTTTCCCTGATCATGTGATAAAACTTGGTTCCCAGGGATGCCCCAGATTTCACTGCTGTGAGCCTGGGCAGCCTTATTCCTTTGAGGGTCAGCAATAATTACTCTTTCAAAGATAAACCTTAGGATTTCAGGCTGCTGTTTCTCTTTTTCTCTTTCTCATTAAAGTAAATTGTTTTAAAGTGCAAAGATTATTTTAGAGTATGTGAAGGAACCCTGAGCTCCATAACAGCTCCATACTCAAGAGGTAAATATATTCAGATATTTGGTCTCACATTATTCAGTAGGCACTGGTTCAAAGTATGAATCATTCTTTCAGGTGCTCCATCCCTTGGCCCAAACCCTGGCTTTTCCTGTAATCTAATGCTTTAGGTCATTACCCTTGCTGATTTGCTCTCATTTTCTATTTCTAAAAGTTTAAGACTAAACCATTTAGCTTACTCCATTTATCAGTGGAAAAGGAAGGTCCTTTCCTATTGGGGATCCAGGGCTCCCTTTTATCTTAAAGCTCAACTCTCCTCCCCATCCCTGCAGAGCCCCAGGGGAGAAGGGGTGGTCTCTGACCTGGTCTTCATACAGCCCATTGGCCTGGAGCCAATACTATTGTCCAGACTGCCTCATCCTCTCCTGTGGCCAGTCCTTTACAGCTCTTGGGTTACACCATTTTATGCCTGAAGTTCCTCTTGCCTCAGCCAGATGCATGACATTCTTAAATTAATTTAAAAAGATTTTTGTGTTTTTCAGTACTCATGCTATGACTTGTTCAAGTGAGTTGCAACATTTTAGAGTGCTGAAGCAATGAAAAGTAGATCTAGTACAACTCCTCCAATTTTTTGAGTGAGGTCCCAAAGTTCCAAATAAGTTACAGTGATTCTCCCACATACACACAAAAATTATGTGGTAGAGTCTTCTTTTGGGACTGTGCTTCACTTATGAACAGAGGAAACGAAGTTCTAACAAATATGCAATTTCCAAAGGGTTATTTACTACCTGATGGACAGCTGTTTTTCCAACAAAAACCGTGCAATGAAAATAATATAAACAGAAGCACAGTGGCATTAAGCTAATACAGTTCCTTTAATGTTCATATATTTCCTATTTTTAAAAAAATATTTATTCTTAAGTTTTAGGTGGACACAATATCTTTATTTTACATTTATGTGGTGCTGAGGATCGAACCCAGTGCCCCATGCATGCTAGGCGAGCACTCTTCCACTGAGCCACAACCCCAGCCCAGGATATTCCCTATTTTTAAATGATAAACTTGAAACTTTGGAATCAACTTGGAAGTACATTAGAGTTGTAAAGGCAGTGCAAGAAATTCCACTCCACCCTGCTTCCTCCAACATTTGCATCTCATATTACTATGGTACATCTATCAAAATTAAGAAATTACCATTTGTACATTGCTAGGACTAATTCCTGACCTCATTTGGATTTCAGCACTTTTTCCACATTTCCAGTTTTTCCTGGGTCCCAGTCTGCATTTGGGTATTAGTCTGTTCTGGTCTGTGACACTTTTTGTTTTTCTTGGTTTTGTTTTTGTTTTTCACGACCTTGATACTTCTGAAGAGTCCTGGCCAGGTACTTCTTAGTCTGTCCCTTGGATTGGGTCTGTCTGGTGTTGTTGTTTGGGATTAGAGAGGGTTAAAATTTTGAGGAGGATACCAGAGAGGTTAAGTGCCCTGTCTGCATTGTATCAGGAGGTGCATAATAGCAACATGATTTACTGCTGGTCTTATTTTTTGATATATACTTAATCCTTCTCCTCATCCTAAATAATGGCAGCTACTTTAGTTTTTTTTATGTTCTTTTGGCTTTTTTCCCCCCTAGATCCTTCTTATACTTCTCTATTCTCCAAAAACACCTTTTTCAAGAATGGATTTTTCCAAAAGTCTCTGTTTATTAACACATGTGGCTTTTCTGTTAGGAGGAGAAGCTGACTTACATGAAGGCAAGAGAGATTCACATGTCCTTCTCTGATCCTGAGGAGGACAAAAACACAGAGACCATGGAGAAGCCAGGGAGCTAGTCCCCAGGAGGCTGAGGGAAGAGAAGACAAACCTCTTCCTTGGTTGATTGCATTCTCCCCAGTGTTGGACCTTTAGCCTAAAAAGTTTCAACTCTGAGATTCTGTAATCATTTGACATGATCATAATTCCCTCAACCTACCACAGGGCCACTTCTGGTAAGCAGCAGGTCATTTTACAGTAATAAGTCAGAGTGCCTCAGGAATTGGGACAAAAAGAAAGAATTTCTTTTCTGTGATGTGAAAAAGCAGGTGGTGAAAATCAGAGACTTAAGGGAAGATCCACAAGATCCTTTCTTTAACCCAGTTCCTTCTTTTTGGGTAATTTAGGGAAGCCATTCATTGTGTGTATGTGTGTGTGGGGGCGGGGAAGGGAGAGAGAGAGAGAGAGAGAGAGAGAGAGTGTATGTGTATGTGTGTGTGTGTGAGAGAGAGAGAGAGAGTGTGTGTGTGTGTGTGTGTGTGTGGTGCTAGGCATGCCAGGCAAATACTCTACCACTGAGCTAGATCCCCAGTCCTTTTTATTTTATGTTGAGACAGGTTCTTGCTAAATTCCCCAGGCTAACCTCAAACTTGTGGTCCTCCTGCCTCAGCCTCCCAGATAGGTGGGATTACAGATGTGTGCTTGGCTTCAGGGAAGCCATTTTGAAGGCAGGCCTCACCCTTTCCCCCACTCCTAAAGGTCATACTCAGGTGTGTAAATGAAGAAGAGTTCTTGCTAGGTACTTGCTTTGACTCTTTATGTAATTGAAAATATGATTTAATGGTCTTATTTTTTGATATACAATTTAACCCTTTAATCAGTTATAAATACCTTCTTCACTAGCTTAATAATTACTATATTGAATTTCTTCAGATTTGGTATTAGTGTAATTTTTTTTTATGAAGACCAACTATTTCAGATTCGAAATCAAATAACACTTATTGA